GTTTGTCGTGTATTGTATTAGAATGGTTAATCTTCAAGTGGAACAAGTTGGGGGAGGCAATCTTCAGGTGATCTGTTAAATCTGTGCATAACTGTATTTAGCAAATCAATGAACCCTTTTCCTGAGTGACATCGACTGACTGACTGAGAGAACTTTTTGCTCCAACTTAGCCCTTCCCCAGCACCCTTCCTCCACCCAGAGGTAGGATGTACAGTGTCCAGTAGACCTAAATAGCTGATAATAAATTTTTGGCTATCCAATTGTTAACTTAAACTTTGGAAATAGTGGAGACAATTTTTGCATGGAATCATTTGGAATTAATAGACTTTATTTTTTATAGTAATACTATGGAAGTAAATATTCTTAGTTTGTGTAGGTACTTTTATAGTCAACTTGATTTTTGTATGATATTATTTCAGGAGTAATGTGCATTCTTTCTTCTTTTTTTTTACAAAAACTGATTATCAAATAAATACACTGTAGTGGTTGTAGCAAAGAAATCATTTTGTGAGATGGTATGTAATAAAGCCTGCCTGACACCTGAGATATATGACCTAAGACCTGGTAGTGAGGACAAAAGAGAACTATAGTGTTTTGGTCCTGTGTTAGTCATGGCCAATTCACAGCACCTTCAGGAGTCATATCAGGGGTTCAGACTGACACAATACTGATTTTAGAACCTTTTGTGTTGAAGTGTGAATAAGGAAGGTGTTCATGACGTTACAATTGGTCTTAAAATTAGTGACATGCTAACTGAATTTACTTTAAATACGTAGGTGGTGAGGAGATATATATTTCCCCGGTCCACCCAAAAATTTTTACACGTTTAAGTTAAGGGATTCAGAATTAGCATGAAATTGATTTTTAGATGCATAAACTCACTATAAATGTCTTCTTTACTTACTCAAAATAATTTGGAACCCTTGATAATGACTTTCAGGAAACACGACTAACAAGTCCATGTTGTTTTCCAGGGGCTTGACGTGGTAAGAATGTGAATTTCATGCATGTTGTAAATTGTCTGGAGAAAGCCAAACCATTACTGTTGTTGACCAACACAAAAGAGTTGGCAATAAACCCTTCAATACAGGGAGTAGTAAGGTCCTGGGTGTGCCTTACTGTGAGAAGTGTTGCGAGCATGTTGTGGTGACCTGGTGTTGATCTGCCACAGGTCTTGCCATTGTCTCAGTAACATCCCTCTTACGGGCTAAAACTGATGAAATAATTCCAACAAACAATTAATAGCCAACTTATCCAGATGAAGACATTTGTGTGTTGCAGCATGGCAGCAATACACCTTTCTTACCAAAATTACTAAAATGCCATAGTAGTGGGATAAAGGTACACAACAGTGCTGCACCACCACAGTAAATGTCGGTGCAAGTAATGGCAGACTTGCATCAGCAGTGCTCGTGAGGGTCACCTCAGCTGCATCAGACAGCAAAGTGAACGCTCCTCACACACCACACAGGTGATACATGTCCATACTCATGCCCAAGACAAGAGTCCTGGAATTTATCACCCTGTCAGCACCATATTGTTCAATTTCAAAATTTTTTGGTGTTATCTTAGGCACATATGAAGGTTTATTATCTGCCCACATTACTTACATTTTTCAGCTTTACAGCAGTGTCGCTGTGTACTAGGCGCCACCCTGGACCATCAGACTGTTGACCCAGTAGTTTAGTTCGGACTTATTCGTTAATGGTCGCTCAATATTTTTACACTTGATATGCTGTAGTCTCACGTTCAAGTATCAAGAACAATAGTGAGTATAAGTCATGGAAAGAAGCACAAAAGCCTTAATTTGTTGTTAACTTGTATCAATGGTGAAACTATGAAATATGACCCATTAATAGGAAGTTGCCACAACATAACCAACCTCTTACTTGAAGGTTAAGGCGAGGATGAATAATTTTCCTGATTATTTGATCATAGTTGTAGATTGTTCAATGTCTTAATGTTTAAGAACTTGTTCAATAATGGCTTATGCATAGTTGTAGGTTATCATGGCAGAGAGCAGCCAGTCCCCCCACGAGGGCTGGGGGCCTCCCTTGCCACACATGCTCATCTAGACAACAGCACCTCATTATTCACTGAAGCTTCAAAGTTTATTTTTTCTGTAAACAACTTATTTTCAGTCTTCGATCATACCATCCACTGTTTATAGTTTATAGAACAATCATGTTAACATTTACTACAATATGTTGACAATACTGGGTCAGAATTCATGTTAACATTTACTACAATATGTTGACAATACTGGGTCAGAATTCATGTTAACATTTACTACAATATGTTGACAATACTGGGTCAGAATTCATGTTAACATTTACTACAATATGTTGACAATACTGGGTCAGAATTCATGTTAACATTTACTACAATATGTTGACAATACTGTGTCAGAATTCATGTTAACATTTACTACAATATGTTGACAATACTGGGTCAGAATTCATGTTAACATTTACTACAATATGTTGACAATACTGGGTCAGAATTCATGTTAACATTTACTACAATATGTTGACAATACTGGGTCAGAATTCATGTTAACATTTACTACAATATGTTGACAATACTGGGTCAGAATTCATGTTAACATTTACTACAATATGTTGACAATACTGGGTCAGAATTCATGTTAACATTTACTACAATATGTTGACAATACTGGGTCAGAATTCATGTTAACATTTACTACAATATGTTGACAATACTGGGTCAGAATTCATGTTAACATTTACTACAATATGTTGACAATACTGGGTCAGAATTCATGTTAACATTTACTACAATATGTTGACAATACTGGTCAGAATTCATGTTAACATTTACTACAATATGTTGACAATACTGGGTCAGAATTCATGTTAACATTTACTACAATATGTTGACAATACTGTGTCAGAATTCATGTTAACATTTACTACAATATGTTGACAATACTGGGTCAGAATTTATGTTAACATTTACTACAATATGTTGACAATACTGGGTCAGAATTCATGTTAACATTTACTACAATATGTTGACAATACTGGGTCAGAATTCATGTTAACATTTACTACAATATGTTGACAATACTGGGTCAGAATTCATGTTTAACATTGACCTCTAATTGGTGATAAAATAAAGTACCAGTGTAGGTAGACACTCAGTATAATTTGGAACCCATTTTGAACATTATTTGTATGCTCCTTCTTATGTCTGCTTATTTGAAACCTTGCTTTATCTCCATTTATGAGAAACAATTTAATGTACAAAGCCTAAAGCTTTGAGAATCCTTGCCCTGGCTGGGTTTGGAAGATCAAGATTCTGTTATTATGGCTCCTTCACTAATGGAGTCAGGGAACATGTGCGCGTCAACTTGAGTGCTAGAGCCTTATCACTAAACTCGTGAAGTAAGATCACAAATATACGTAGAGGTGGAATTGATACCATGGTGGGCTGCTCATAATAGTAATTTAGTTGTGTTATTACTTGTTTCCTGTAATGCACTTGTTGACCATATACTGTACATGTTGCTGTGTTGTAGTATATTTAGGATATGTATACTTTTTGAAAAAGTGTTATGCACTATTTACTCATTCATGTAGATAAATCACTTTACTGTTCTTGAGCGCTACGTATACATAACTTAGAAATTCAGATATAGTTTATAGATGTACGGTACTGTACAGTATTTTCACTATATTTATCTTGTTTATTAGAGTTAGGTCCAGCTAAACATTGAAAATTTTGGGACCACAGGAAGATTAAGCATCTCAGCTTATTTCATCTGATGTTTAAGCACTAACACTAACTTAACCTAACCTACTGTAGTAAAATATGCTGGGAAAACTAATCTTCAGTTATCTTCAATTGATACAAAATTTTTATATCCCAACAAGAAAGAGTATCCTACTTTCATCTGATAATTGTTTCATTGGGTCATCTTATATTTATAATGTGGACCACACTCCTCAACCAATATAATACATATTGTAACCTCAGATTAATATCCCAATAAGGGTAAGAAGATGGACTCCTCACCTATGACACTGTTTGGCTACTTCAACGAGTGAGTGAGGGCCAACCTGCACTTGGTAGTGGCCATGTCCCCCATAGGCGACACCTTCAGGACCAGGCTCAGGATGTTCCCCTCCCTCATTAACTGCTGCACTATAGACTGGTAGGTCCTGGTGGGTCTACTGCTTCATGTGTTAGAAGATGTCCTCTCACTAGTGTGTTGCCAGGTGTCCCTCACTTGTGTATTGTCAGGTGTCCCTGGTAGCGTAGTGTGTAATGTTGTGGTAGTGTAGTGTATAATATTGTTGTGGTACAATAATGGTTTCTTCTTATAGGATTTTAGAAAGTTAATAAAAATTTTTTTTACAGGTTTTTACTTTCAGTGCTATGTGAGAGCTCATTGATATTATCTATAGTGCTAATCCTTTTTATGCAGGGCTTTATAATAATAGTAATACAGTAACAATAAGATTAGTAAGAATTATAATGATAATGTACAGTAATACTGTCATAATAATGCTAATAATAATAATGATAATAATTTCATTAATAACAATACTGTAATAATAATTGGCAATGTGTTTCCAAAGAAAATTTTGCCTTCTTAAAGGGAAAATTTTTGCCCCCCAAAATATAATACAGTACTACTATATGTATCAAGTAAATACGCACTAAAATAGTATAATAAATACCTGCTACTCAAATAAAATCATAAATAGAAATAATACTGTAGTACAGTTACCAGCAAGAAACATAATGCTTGTCATGTAATTTCACATCAGATTAATTGCCTTCCTGTTTCTCTTAATGCCACTGCTGCCTCTAGCACTTAATGTCCTCTGGCCAAGCTTAGGAAAACAATGGAAACACATATACAAAAAACATACACAAAAAACACAAACAAATGCCAGGTTGCAGAATGAAATGTACAGTCCTCCAAAAAAAAAGGTATTGTTAACCATGGGGTCGATGTGTTTCGAGGACACGTCGCTACCTGGCATTTAATTGCAATTCTCAAAACCCCCTCCCACACCCTCCATCACACGCATTGCTACCGTCATCGTCTTGCCTGGCGAATCGGGTGTAAATACGCACAATGAAAGCACCGCTAAAATTTTTGTTGTAATAGCTGAAATACTAAGTGCCACGAGGATTTTATATAGGGTATTTATACATCTTAGCACGGTGAGGAAATCGGGTGACTTTTATTTTGTTTCTCTCTCAGATATTGTGTTTGGGACAATTTTTTATACGTTCTGGTCAGTATGGCAACCACAGCTCGTTTTCTATTAGGAAGACAGTAGATCGTTAGTGACTAATATCCTCTGTTTTTGAGTTCCATAACTTCAAAACTCTGTAGAATGCAGTTCTGTTAAATGGCAAATGCCAGTATAATTCTGTAGAGTCACAAGATTATGACCTTTTCTTGTTCAGGTTTACTGCATGGCCTGATGATGCCTTGGAGATGGTGGCCACATCACTGCTGCAGGAAACTAAACTGGAGGCATCATTGTTGGCTCACTGTGTCACTGTCTGCAAGTATTTCCACCACAGCATTGATGACCTTGCCCACAGGTAGTTTCAAGGACATCCAAACCTTGCTTATGTTATCATTTTCAGTTTAACTACCAAGGGTCAAAGACTGCTTCGTGTGGATTTCATTTTAGCATTTATCCAGTTGTTTCTCAAGTAGGCAAACCTGAGCAATCTATAGACTGATGTCTGTCTTTTTATACTAGAAATTTGTTTTTAATTATGTAAATACAGTTTACCACAGTCAGAAAACTCTCTTCAATAAAACATCCATGTTTGATTGTTTGTGTTTTAACTTCTGACTGGCCAATGATGATCATGTAGAAAATAATAGTACTGCACAGGCATAGGACCACTTATCTGGCATGCTTGGGAGCTGGGAATGGAGGTGCTGGGCTTGGGCAAGTGTGATCGACGTGACCTCTGCATCTTGAGACGCGATTGGTACTAAGGCATTGTAGGTGGTAGCATGTGAAGTTCGCATGTCACCACATGAGACAGGAGAGTTTATCCCATTATTCTGAGTTAGTTTAGTGCATTTTATATTCAAATAGGCCCACTAAATGTCAAAATTTCATATGAGGTGACCTGAAGCTCTATAGATGCACACCATATGACTTGACTTGAAGCCCAGGGGTTCAAGACATTAATTAACCCATGAGAACCTGGTGGGCTTCCAAGACCTCATTAAAACCATAAGACATACTGTACATGAGACGTTGGTAGCCCTCCAATACCTTAATTAACCAGACATACATGAGACCTTGATGAGTGCTCCTACAGGTTCTATGAGCAGCTGCGGCGGAGGTACTATGTGACATTGTGACACCCACCTCCTACCTGGAGCTCGTGTTCACCTTCAAGCAGCTCCTCCTTAAGAAGCGCTCAGAGATCCTCACACTACGGGACAGGTAAAGCTCAGGAAGCTCATCACCAGCTTTAGTAATGTTATACTGTACATCTATTGATGAATTTTAGTCTATGAGAATTACCCGACCCAACTTCGATTTTGTTTTTATTTTACTTGTGAAAATCAATAATATTGTGCCCAAGTTATTTTAAATGTATGAATATGCATTCTTAGTGCCAAAAACATTAACCATTTCATCTCTGAAGGTATGTGACAGGTCTGGAGAAACTGAAAGAGGCCAAGCTGTTGATCACTGAACTGCAAGAAGAGCTAAAGCTGCTGCAGCCCCGCCTAGTGGAGACCTCTGCCAACACGGAGGCACTTATGATCAAGATCGAACAAGACACCATCCAAGTGGAGAGGAAACAAGAGGTGTGAAGCTGTTATCTTTCACTTGTCAAACTTACCTGTTAATACTATTAATAATTCTATAACAAAAAGATGTATCTCTAACTCTGTAATAGATGGTACAGTGTGTATGTTGAAGTGCAGAAATGTACTACAGATAATACTCAACCCCCCACCCAGGTGCCATAACTACACTACATGTGTGAGTTTGGTTGTGTAGAAAATATGTCGAAGCGAGTTAATTGTTTTTAATGAAATTAGATAGATTGGTTGGTTTAGACAACTAACTTCTTTAAATTAAGAGAAAATATATAAGAAATCAAGTTCAAAGAGCCCTTTATATTTCATGCACTAAAATACATAAAAAATTTATGTGGTTATTGATCATTCAATCTACCTAGCAAATTTAACAGATGTGAAATATATTGTCTTTGACTGTGAACTGTAAGTGTGACCTTGACCTGCTTTCTCCAAAATTAGACTAGATTTCTCTTAATCAACAGCAACCTATAGTCCCAAGTTTCATTAACTCTAATAAAGAGTTGTGTAGACAACAGACACATACAGTGGAATGTGACTGTGACCATGGCTTTGAATATATTTACCCCAGCTTTCAATTACCTCTTCCTTTGCCTACACTCAACCCTTGACGATCATTTGGTGAAGAGGATAAAAGAAAAGGAAAAGTAACAGAGACGTGACCGATCGCCCAAGCACCTAACGAGCCAATCAGTGGTGAAGAGGATAAAAAAAAAAGACTGTTTCACTAGAGTTCACCAGTCTATTCTTTAGCTTTACTTGCCCAAATTTATTTATTTTCTCTGAGGTAAATAACCTTTTAGCCTGCCAGGTTTCATCGAAGCTACCCTTCCCATTCTTTTATATATTTTGTTCATAGATACAAACACAAGTATAATTCCCCAAACCCAGAAGAACAAACATAAGTGAAACATGGAAGGTTGTTGAAGATACCACAATGAAACCAATGTTGTAGTCACAATTCAGTCAGTGTTTTGTGATCTTGATGTAAAATATTGTCATTGGCAAGGTTCTTGTTACTATCATGAACACCTTGCTAGTTATTGCTGTTTTTGTGTTCGTGTTTTATGTTCCCTTCTAATGTTAACCCTGCCTCTCTTGGTAAAAAAAAAAGATGAAAGTGATAACATATCTCATTTCTTGGTTGTTGATAACAAATTTGTTCTCAGTTGGTGGCGGCAGACGAGGCGGTGGCCAATAAGAAGTTTGCCGATGCACAGGCCATAAAAGACGACTGTGAAAAGGAGCTCGCCAAGGCAGTACCAGCTCTCAATGCTGCCACAGACGCCCTCAACACCCTCAAACAAGATGACATACGCGTCGTCAAGGCCATGAAGAACCCGCCCTCAGGAGTCAAGCTGGTGAGTATAACCTACCAAATGATGACATTGGTTATGAAGAGTGCTCACCTTAACCTCCACTCTGACTCTACCTAAGTCTCCACTGTTGTTTTACCTAATCTTCCACTCTGACTCTACTGTCCCCAAACCTTCACTTTGCCTTAATATCCTCTAGCTGTTGACCTTAAGTCACTTTGTGCTCCTAACACACCCTGTGATCCTCACACCCTCCTAAAGATATATGAAAAGTTTTGTCCCTGTGTTGTTTTTTTGTATTTCTAATCATTAGTGAAACTTTTTGAGAAATACTACATCAGTTGAGGCACTCTGCATTAGAAGGGGGTGAAGCTCCAAATTCAAAAAGCTGAGAAAAACACGTTGAAAGTTTTCAAGGTTCAAACAACCATAACTTTTTTTTTTAAGCTAGAGGGTTCTTTTTTTTTATCGTGCAGCTTAATCCCTCTCCTAGCGAACTGTGACAACTGGAAATTAGTACAGTGAATAGTTATTAATTTATTGCGAGTTGAATGAAAATAACCCGTGATGTAGAGTTGTTTGATCTTCAAACCAACAATAATCGCATTTTTCTGCAATTTTTTTTTATTAATATTTGTGGGTTAATACTGTAAAACAAGTTAATGATAACCAAAAACAGCACTCGTTTTACCACCCCCCCCCCCCAAAAATAATAATAAAAACTCATTTGCCTATTAGTATTTATCTTTCCGTCCCTATTATTAGCCAAAGATTTATAATATTGTTAAGTTTAATAGTGTGTAATAATGAGGAAACACCACTACACTCATCCCACCCCCTACCATGAACCCCCCCCCAACGTAATTAACAGACGAATACAAAGGCTTAGAAAGTTTGCATATTCTTTGGTTAAGAGAGTATTCTGATAATAGTATTACAATCTTACTTTGTTTAGTTCCTTCGTTTTATTATCCCTGAATATCGTAGTAACTTGAAGTTACGTAAATCCTGAGGAGTGCGTTTAACTTAAATGGCCTCTTCATAATCAATCATGTACTGATCAAAGTCTTTTTCTGCCCTCTCTAAAAATCGCCACACAGATTCTTCATGAACTAAATCATTGATTTTTGATGCCAGCAACAGTTCAGTTTCATAATAAGATTGAGTTATGGGCTCACTTTCATTAGCATTCGTTGGTTCAGGCACACTTTCATCACTATCAAGGTCAATGCATGCCTCGTCACTGTCCATTTCTACCTCCTCACAGTCTGTATGTTCTTGTTGTGATACATTAGTGTCACTCTGTTACCATTAGACTCACTTTCATCATTTTCATCTTCACTTTCATCATCATTATTGCTGTCAGTGCATGTCACGTAACTCTGTACCGGAACATAGTCTACAAAAAGGTCTTGTGATGCATAGCAGTCACTTTTTGTATGATGAGTATACCAAAATCACTATCACTATCACCAAGCATTCCTAGGATGTCCACGTGAGCACTGTCATCACTAAACACACGTTCAGGAATAATGTGCTCCTGAACCTATACCAGAAGGCCTGGCCTCACTCAACTCTTGCTCCAATATCGGGCAGATGTTGCACAGCATTTTACACACCCGTGGATGAATAACATCATTGTTACGCCGAAAAGTTATCAAAAATAGCCATAGAAAGTACACTGAACCTCCTTATGCTATACAATGCACCAAAACTAACAAGGAGGCAGCATCTGGGCGCGCGGATTGGCCGAGGAGCTGTGACATAGCAAGGGGAAATCCATTGTGATTGGCTACCTCAGGGGTATGGTCCGAGGGAGGCGCGCTGTCATTGGCTCGCGCTCCTCTCGCTCTGAACGGGAAGTTGCCACCTTCTTTGACTGAGCGCACAGCCAGATACGTAGCTCCAGGCCTGAGGCAAAATCACGCCTAATTTTGAAGGACTTTCTACCATATTTCTATTCTAGCTAGAGCGTTACATCCAACGGGTGAAAATAGTGATATCCATCAAAAAACGCATTTTGGCCAGAGTGTCACTTCACCCCCCTCTAATGCTGAGCGCCTCAATTCTAGTGGGTTATGAGAAACATAACATCAATTCTAGTGTGTGATGAGAAACATATTTCTAGTGGGTGATAAGAAACACTACTTCAATTCTAGTGGGTGATGAGAAACATAGTTCTAGTGGGTGATGAGAAACACTACATTAGTTCTAGTGGGTGATGAGAAATACCATCAACAAGGCAGAGTGAAGCCATGTGTCATCTTCATAGACTTCTGTGTAATTTTTATCCTAACCTAACCTAACATAACTTTAACCAAACCTAGCATAACGTAACTTAAGATAGCATAGTCTAACTTAAGATGACCTGACCTAACACAACTTAACCCAGCTCAGTAATGCAGTGTTTCTCATCATCCAACTCATGTTTTTCATCACCCAGGTCAGTAAAGTTTCTCATCACCCAGTTCTCTAATGCAATGTTTGTGTTCATGTTTTACTAGAGCTGTAAAAATACCCAAAATAACAATGCTGCACTATACAGTTCAATATTATGCTTTATGTCAGGTAATGGAAGCTGTGTGTGTAATGCTGGACCTCAAGCCAGAGAGGAAGCCAGACCCTAATGGCTCAGGAAAAATGATTGAGGACTATTGGGCACCATCTCAGAAGCTGTTGGGGGATATGAAGTTCCTCCAGAACCTGCTGCACTATGACAAAGAAAACATTCCCACAAAGATTATCACTCACGTCCGCAACAAGTAAGTTCAAACATTATTTCCGTGATATGGTATTCATTAGATAATTCATCTTTGCCATTAAGTATGACCAAGACAGAGGCTATCAGAGTGGTGTCGAGACAGACAGACCGATATGAATAAACTCATACTATTGAACAAATAAAATGCTGTAAAAAATTATCATCATTACTACTGTCTCAGTACTGTACTAACATGTAGCTACCTGATGCTTGCACTCAAGAGTGTGCATGGTTATTCAGGACGGATTACATCTTGGAATATTTTCTTGCTATACCAGTATATTTTCCTTAACCCCATGAAAATGTAAAATAACAGTTGAAAATCTTGGTTGCTGGAACAGTGCTGTTGAATATGGACGCCTTGAGAATGACACACACAGTAATAACTGTGTAAGTCACACTACCTACTGTCACATTTAGAAATGAGTGTTCTTCCACTTTAACCCTGAAACCTATTATAAACTCACAAAAAGTAAAGGAAATAAATGTTGAGACATTTTAAAATGTACTTATCCATTAATTTACTTATTCATGCATATGTATCTTATGCTCAGGTAAATACATACTATTGTTTCACAAGAAATCACAAAAAATAAAATCCCTCTTTTATCTTTAAAGAAGACTTGAGTGACACATAAAACTGTGTGAGTACTGAAGTGGATGACTTAGGGACTTTCTACTTCCTGCCAGGTTCTACTCTCACCCGGATTTTGACCCAAAGAAGATACGTATGGTATCAATGGCTTGTGAGGGCCTCTGCCGATGGGTGAGGGCCATGGTTGTCTATGATCAAGTCATAAAGATTGTCGCCCCCAAGAAACAAGCTTTGGAGGCTGCCAACCATGAACTGGCCCTCCAGAATGAAAAGCTAGAGGAAAAGAGGAAAGAACTCAGAGAGGTAATGTGTGAACCGAGAAAGATAATGTGTGAAATAAAAGACATTGCATGTAGAACCATTTCAACATATAGAATTACTGTATGGTAGACTTAGTCATCATTATATTATGAAGACTACTATTCCTTCTACAGTATATGTTCATCTACCTGTAATATATGTATGAGTCTGCTCAGGTGTTGTGAAACAAAAGTTTTTTAGTTAACCCTTTACTTGTCATATTCCTAGATCCATGTACGTGAGTGACCATCTCTGAGCAGTCCATTACGTAGATCAATGAATTTGACTTTTTAAATTTCCCACAGCATCTGAAATGGTCCAGAAGGATTAATATATTTAAAATATGGCACATGGTAACCTCTCAAGACACATTAGCCTGTATCAGCAACCTCTGTCCCTCCAAAATGCTTTGTTTACTAACCCAACCACCACTACACCCATACACATCCATCCAGTCCCTCCTCAACATTTCCCAAGTTTGCTGCCCACATCACAGGCTAACAAATATGCCCAGAGACTTTCTCACGTATGCAAGAACACAGTGTTACTTGAAAAAGTGCACACAGATGCTAGGTATTGCAGCGGTGAGTGTGATCTGGTAGAATGTTCCAAGAGTTCACAACTCTCACTCCGAAAAAGTTTGCCCTCACAGTTTTCTGGACTTGCGGCTTCTTCAGTCTTGAGCTGTGACCCCTTGTTAGGCGAGCGTCTGCCAGCTCCAAGTAAGAACACTCGACTGAGTAGTACCCCTTGAGATGCTTATACTACACCTCAATTAGGTCACCCCTTACCCGTCTGTAGTACAGGTTGTACCTCTCTAGTCCGGCATTCTGTGGTCCAGAAACTCCCGTGGTCCGGAACGATTTTAGTTTGTCCAATAGGTAGATAGGCAGCTTTCTTTTTTTTTTTTCTTTTTTTTTTTATCTGAATTATTATTATTACAGGAGTATTAAATTTTTGCCCCTCAGGCCCCAATGTGGGTCAGTGACTTATGCACAGGTGGGCTAATCTCCTTAAAAAAAAAAACAAAGCCACGGGAAATTAAGGTTTGTTTACATCTGGCTGCTCTCTCTCTCTGTCTGCTTGTCTATACAGAGGACAACATTTAACCCTTCAATATATATGAGCAGTAAATAAGTGTTGCTTTCATATTCTTATGTAGAGTAATGAGATATGTTTTCACATGTGCGCACTTACATACGCGCAGTCTCACTTTTTTTTTTACCATTAATGGTTAGCTACTTATATTGTTCCATTTATTAACATTAAATAACATTACAGGTACTTCAAACAACCATATTCATTTTTTTACATTCATTTTACTACAGCTAAACTCAGGGTCTTATTTTCTTCAGTTTTATATGTAGAACCAATCAGTCACTGGTTTCGTAAGCTTTAACATAAACAATGCCGGCAGCCGTCTCGTCTCCTCTAATATTCCACGTATTATTAATAAATTGTATTGTTAATTTTGCACACACAAACATTAATTCAATAAAAACAAATTCAGAAACATTAATTAAAATATATATGAACAGTAAATAAGTGTTGCTTTCATATTCTTATGTAGAGTAATGACGATATGTTTTCACATGTGCGCACTTACATACGCGCAGTCTCACTTTTTTTTTTACCATTAATGGTTAGCTACTTATATTGTTCCATTTATTAACATTAAATAACATTACAGGTACTTCAAACAACCATATTAATTTTTTTACATTAATTTTACTACAGCTAAACTCAGGGTCTTATTTTCTTCAGTTTTATATGTAGAACCAATCAGTCACTGGTTTTGTAAGCTTTAACATAAACAATGCCGGCAGCCGTCTCGTCTCCTCTAATATTCCACGTATTATTAACAAATTGAATTGTTAATTTTGCACACACAAACATTAATTCAATAAAAACAAATTCAGAAACATTAATTAAAATATATATGAACAGTAAATAAGTGTTGCTTTCATATTCTTATGTAAAGTAATGACGATATGTTTTCACGTGTGCGCATGCGCACTTACATACGCGATCTCTCTTTTTTCTTTACCATTATCGTTAGCTACTTCTATTGTTCCATTTATTAACATTAAATAACATTACTTAAAACAACCATATTAATTTTACTACAGGTACAACCAAAGTCTTATTTTCTTCAGTTTTATATGTAGAACCAGTCAGTCACTGGTTTTGTAATCAACGAAAACAATGCTGTGTCATTTCCTCATGTGTTTTAATATTCTACATATTATTAATGAATTGTATTGCTCATTTTGCACACATAAACATTAATTCAATAAAAAAGACATTCAGTAATGAACAATAATGAATCTTTTGTACATAAGAGGAATGACGCTGTTTACACGATTATGCACGTCGTCTGCACGTTGGCGGGCCGTTCAAACCCGTCGAAATTCAAGTTTCCGCCGTCAAAATTTTTATTTATTTATTTTTTTGTGTGTTCCAATAAAATACGTTAAGAATTAAAAACTCGCGAAATTTGAGAAGCTACTATACGACATTTAACCCTTTAATATGTCTTCAAAGAGACCATGATGCAGAGAAAGCGGTACTAGTGCTTCCAAGCATAAGCACATGTCACTATCTATGCAGGAAAAGGGTGAATTTCCATGGTCCGGCACCAGTCAGGTCCCGAGGTTGCCAGACTAGAGAGGTATAACCTGTATAAGCTAGGCAAGTTCAGGCGCTCCATTCTCTCATGGTAGTTGAGGAGCCGAAGTGCAGGCACCAGTCTGGTGGCCCTCCTTTGAACATTTTCAACCAACTGACAGTCCCTAGCATACCTCGGGGACCAGACGGGGTGACAGTACTCCAGATGGGGAAGCACTTCACTCTTGAAAATCGTTACGAGGGACGGAATGTCTAGATATCTTAACGACCTTCTTATGAGGCCCAATAATTTATTTGCCTGGTTTACCTTCTTCTCGCATTGGCCCGAGAACTTCAGCTCATTGTCAACATACACACCTAGGTCCTTCTCACATTGTCTCAAATGGTGCAGTTTCTTCATCCCGTTGGGACATATGATATGCCTCCTTACCGTTGGTACGCCCCAGGTGCATCCTCTTACACTTCGGGACATTGAATCTCAGCAGCCATTTCTTCAACCAATCTTAGAGCTCACAGAGATCCTTCTGCAGCTCTTCATACTCTGCATGGTTCTTGATTTCCCGAAATAACTTGGCGTCATCGGCAAGCATTTGTATGGAGGAGTGTACAACATCAGGAATGGCATTTATGAAACAAACAAACAACAGCAGGCCCAATACACTGTCCTGTGGTACCCCGCTTGTGACAGGTACGGATGATAATTTCGTGCCATTAATCACCACACACTGATTGCAGTCATGTAGAAAGTCTTCTATCCACGCTTGGACATTTCCTCGAATTCCGTACCCTTCCAGTTTGATTTTCAGCCTTTCGTGGGGTACACTGTCAAAAGCCTTGGCAAAATCTAGGTATATATATTGTCGATATTACCACCCTGTTGGCAATCCTTTACAAGGTTGTTTCGCAGTAGATGTTCCATCGCAGCATCTCTGATAATACTCTCAAGTACTTTACACATTATGTTGGTCAGGCTCACCGGTCTGTAGTTGTTCGTGGAGTGACGATCGCCCTTCTTGAAGATAGGACTCGCATAAGCCACTTTCCAATCACTGGGGACCTTTTGTTCATCCAGGCATTTACAAAACAGGATCTTCAGGGGCTCGGCAAGCTCATTGCACAACACTCTTAGCACTCTAGGATGCGCCATGTCAGAGCCGGGACTCTTATGGACCTTTAGCTTTGACAGTTTATTTCTAATACCCTCTTCTGTGAACACAATGTGGGTCAGTGCTGTGTCGAACTGTCTGTCCTCAAACGCAGGAAGGTTAATCGCATCCTCTCTTGTGAACACCGAGGAAAAGAAACTGTTCAATGCCTCAGCTTTATCCTGGTCATAATCTGCGTAACTACCATCTTCAAGCCTCAGGTCTGATACTCCTACTCGCTTTTATAATTTCGACTTTGCATAGCGGTAAAATGCCTTTGGGTTTGGGTTTGACATGTTTTTGCCACTTCATAATGTAAAAAATGTTAGTGTGAAGCAATAAACTTGTAACTGATACACTTATCACTGTTTTATAAATTATACATAAATGATAAAAATTATCATATTATGTGAGGGGAACAGTGAAGATATAAGCCAAGGAGTAGAAATCATGACTCAATGTTGCAACTAGGCATACTGTATTTTGCCACACTCGCAACACATCCATCCCAACCTCATGGCAAATAGTCAATTCGGGTGAGGAGAGCACAGGGGTGATCTAAACGAAAGTGGTTATTTTTGTGGTAAATACAGTACAGTACAGTACTATAAAAGATCAATCAGTTCAGCTGAGCGGCTCTTCCGCTAAGCACACTGCCTTCTCATAATGTTTGTTTTAAGCTTCACCTTTATGCAAATATGTGGTGTTTACACTTTATCCTCCTCTTTAGAAAGGATCCTTATTGTCCATTACTTTAAATATTTGTTGTCATTGTCTTGATATGCATAATACTTAGTGAAAAGAGAAGGGATGAATGTGTTCTCCAAAAATCTTAATTTGTTTGTGACTTTGATGGTAAATATTCTTTATTTCATTAATTTTTCCACTCACATCTTGAAAGTTAATGTTTTCAAGCAATTATATCTATACATACATTAAATTTGGCATTAAAGCAAGGCAGAACTGGGTATTCTTGACATTTTTATATGGATTTATTTGCTATGTATGAATATTACTCAAACATGCGGCAAATTAAAAAATTTAGATGAAATCTCAGAGTTTCAAGAAATGGGATGCTACAAATGACAAGCAAGGCATAAAGTTGTATGCTTGGTACAGGTACCAAGACAAATCCGAGTGTAGAAGAGCAGAAAAAGAGTTTCAGATGTGGATTACAATTAAGGCCAATTCAAATCTTTTCAAAATTGAAATTAAAGACACATAAGAGCTTTTCAGATCTGAGACTTGAAGATGGTAGCTACACATACTCAGATTATTACTAGGCTTTGGCATTGAATTTCTCTATATATGAATTAATTTCCATTAAGTTAGAGTAATTAAAATAAAAAGTTATCCCTATTTGGCAAAAGAATGTGTATATTTGTGTTATTATTTTAAAGATACACACACTATCCTTACAACACAGCAGACAATCATGTGTAATCAGAATAGCCTTTTGTTCTTGTTATATGGCCATAGAAATTAGTGCAAATATTAAAAATGGCTTCTTTTTTTCATATTTCTCAAACAATCCTAACCTAACCTAAATTAGATTAGGTTAGATTTTTTAAAGATTATAATTATACTGAAGTTATCAAAATAATGAAGCTGAGCTTATGATATAGGCCATATACTGTACAGAGAACCCCGACTTACGAATGCCCGCCAATACGAACTGGGTTAAACTTGAAATTTACAGTAGTATTGTACTTTATTTACCTGATGACTTAATTTTTACTTTCATTTGCTGCATTTTGTCATTCTATTTCTTCTTTTCTCTTAAATTAAGTGGTTTTAGATGTATATAAGAACTTAGGCTATGATATAGTGAGATTTTAAACATTGTTCTGTAAGTACGGTATGCACATAGCATGTGTTCCATTTTACGTACACATCTGACTTAAGAATGTCCTCGGGAATGGAACCTGTTCGTAACCGGGGGAACCCCTGTATACGTAGCTGAACTACAGTACAGTTGTACCCCGCTTTACGTGGTTTCACTTTACGCGATTTCTAATATACGCGGTGCCTCGCCAGAACCGAACTTTCACTTGACGCGGTTCATCTACCCACATACGCGTGAAGTATAATTTTTTTTTTTATTTAGCTCATAAAATTCATACAAATTACCCGGCCAGAATATAATTTACATTGCTGGAATTCTTACAATTTGATGATCATTTTGAATATAAACATCATAGATTTTGCATTAGACATACAAATTTTAGATGTAATGTTTACTCTGAGTGAATATGTTATCTTTTGTGCAAAATATATGACATTTATATTCAAAATGTTCCTGGTCTTACAAGGATTCCAGCAATGTCAATTATATTATCCTAACTTTAGTCTGAGGTATTATTTGTTACTAAAAGTTAAAATTAGTTTTTTCACCCAACATTTTTCTGGTAGGGAGGGAAGGTGGGGGGTGGGACCGACTGACCATCTGGCGCGGTTGGAAGAGGAGGGGGAGGCAAGTTGGGGTACTTTGATTGACAGATAGAGTCGTGAAGAATATTTTTTTTTTATTAACTGAAGATATTTGTTTTAGCTCATAAAATTCATACAAATTACTGGACCAGAATATAATTTCCATTGCTGGAATTCTTACAATATGATGATCATTTTGAATATAAACATCATGGATTTTGCATTAGACATACAAATTTTAGATCTAATGTAATAATTTGGTTTACACAAAGCAAGTATTTTATCTTTTGTGCAAAATATATGAAGTTTACATTCAAAATATTCCCTGACCTGCAAGGAATCCAAAAATGTCAATTATATTATCCTAACTTTAGTCTGAGGTATTATTTATTACTAAACGTTAAAATCTAGTGTTTCACCCAATCATTTCTCAGAGAGGTAGGGGCCAGTGAGCTGGGAAGAGGGGGGGGGGTGGGATTTGAGTCTATTATTTGAATGGACATTAACCTGGCGACTGTATTTCTCTTAAATATTAATTGTGTGAGCATACCATCATAAAATTTAGATGTCATTTTTACTACAACGTAGGTATTGTGTCGGAAAAAGTGGAGTTTGGGGGTCAGGCCAGTCTCTATTGGAATTAATCCCATATGTTCTGTTGTTCCATTTACGCGGATTTCACTTAACGTGGTACCCTGTGGGTTCAATTGACCACGTAAATCGGGGTACTACTGTACTGTATGCTTGAATAACACAGAAATAAGAATTATCGCCAAGTAATTCTTTCTTATCCCATTTCAGGTGACAGATAAACTTCAAGCTCTTAATGATGAGTTCACCAAGAAGCAGAAGGAGAAGAAGGACCTGGAGGATTCGATTGTTAGGTGTGAACAGAAGAGGGACCGCTCCGAGAGGCTCATAGGTGGTCTGGGTGGAGAGCGAGACAGGTAAGGGGTGACCTGTAAAGCACTTCCCTATTATCACCTCTGAGACTGAGGTAATTTTTAAAAGAATCTCCTGTTTCATTCCTCTTATTCATCCTTCTCTACCATCTTATTCCAATAATTGAGATTTTTGTCCTCATCTCTGGTGGAAACAATTAAGTTTGATCCTTTCACTTCATTCCTCAACCAGGGCCACCACCACAGGCTCTTCCAACATTTTAAAACTTCATTAATCCGGGTAATACCCAAACTGCCCTCAGGTGGAGCAACGAAGCTCAGCAGTTGAGCGAGAGTTTGGAGAACATTGTGGGTGACGTGCTGATCGCTGCTGCCATCGTGGCCTACCTTGGAGCTTTTACTGTCGACTATAGGGAGGTACAGTATGCCTTCCAGTGGTAACATGTTATGTAGGATCTTTTTTACCAAAGCATCTAACATAAGCCAAATTAATTTAGACAATGTTTTTGAAGTAAGTTAGGTTTAGATTGGTAAGAATGTTTGATTTGAGTTATTGGGAGAGATTATTGGGCTGATCTTTAGTTTATTTACTAAACTGTTTAGCTTTGTCTTTTGCATCTTTGCAACATTTGCCAAATCCCTTTGAGAAAGGACACATGAATCTTGGGGAGTTTAATTTTGTTTATTTCTTTGTCCAGTTTCTTCCTTTAGTATAGTTAATAATAATAGAAGATATTAAGCCCAAAGCAAACATTTATTTAAAAAACAGTACATGTACAGTAATGTCTCCGTTAGCAGGAATCCCTCAAACACGGAACTTTCCAGTATCCGGGATTGAAATTTGCTCGGAATATCATTCCCAAAGCCGGAATTTAAAAAAAAAAATGGGCTTTGGGAACAAATTTTCCGAGGTTGAAAATCGAGAACATTTCTAAAAATGTCTTGAATAAAAACGAAAGCTAAAGTATTTTGAAAGGGGACCTGACCTGACTCAATGAGCAAAGTTGTATCCCTTCAACATTACAGTTCATTACATAGCATTTTAAAATGTGGTCTGAGAAAGCAGAAATGTGTGGATGATTAGAGATATGGAGTGGAAAGGAGTGTAGCATGCACCAGTGTGCCAAGCGATAAGCTCCTCAACAGCTGATCTTAGAACAGGTGACCTGACATTCCATCAGAAGGTCAGTAATATGAGACTACTAATCCCCCACCTCCACCTGACATTGCATCAGATCAGGTCAGATACATGAGATACACTAACCCCCCATAGCTCCATGGGAGTGAAAAATAAGTCTTTGCTGTGACACATGGCTGCATTCACACCCATATCCTATAGATTTTTAATTTTTAAATATGTTTATTTAACCAAACTTTTAGATAAACTATTCTGGATTATTATAGTAAAGAAATGGAGCTTCTAGCTTCATTAGAACTGCATTTTCGGACTCCGGTAATTTAGACTCCTGAAAACATCCCCATCACCCAGAAGTGGGCTAGTGTCCGTCTGTGCAAGATGTCTAGTTTAAAAACTCGGAAACTTTTCCCAGTAATCGGAAAAGATTCCGGAGATAAGGAATTTTTCCGGGTTTAAGAAAGTCGTCTGGTTACCCGGAAATCTCTCATCCCCAGAAGTGCTCTGCACCAATTGTTCCGGCTTATGAGAATATCATTTTGAGTTGCTTAACCTAATTATTTCTGCAGACTTGCCTTCAGAACTGGCATCAAAAGTGTCAGGAACTGGGAATCTCATGTAGTGTGAAATTTGTCCTGTATGACACTCTGGGTGACCCTGTACAAAGCCGCACCTGGCAGCTGGCAGGGCTGCCTTTTGACACTTTCTCAGTTGACAATGCCATCATTGTCGCTCACTCACGCCGCTGGCCACTCATGATAGACCCCCAGGGTAAGTTTATCACCGTACTCACTTTTACGATACTGTACGCTTGCTCTGACAACATACTTACTCTAACAACACACTCACTCTAACAATACACTTGCTCTAACAACCCCCTTTACCTTAACAACAAACTCACCCTAACAATACACTTGCTCTAACAACTCCCTTCACCCTAACAACACACTCACCCTAACAACACACTCACCCTAACAACACACTCACCCTAACAACAGAACCAAGTCTACCACACAACCAGGTCTTCCACAGTACCCACTACCTACAGGTACACTACCTCCAGTTTCCTCTGTAGATTTTTAAATTGCTTGTAATACCATCTTACTGTCCAGGGTTGTTTTGTCAATAGTAAAGTAGATAAATACAGTACAGTATTACCCCGCCTAACTCGGTTTCACTTAACGCGTTTTATCATATACGCGGTGCCTCGCCAGAGCTGAACTTTCACTTAACACGGATTTTTTCCACATATACGCGGTGAGTGTCCGGCTCGAGACGCTATTTTTAGATTTGCCCCACCCGCCACCCTGCCTGACTGCCTGTTTTAACTCATAAAATTCATACAAATTACCCGGCCAGAATATAATTTACATTGCTGGAATTCTTATAATTTGGTGATCATTTTGAATATAAACATCATATATTTTGCATTAGACATACAAATTTTAGATAAAAAATTTTCTCAGAGTAACTATGTTATCTTTTGTGCAAAATATATGACATTTATATTCAAAATATTCCTGGTCTTACAAGGAATCCAGCAATGTCAATTATATTATCCTAACTTTAGTTTGAGGTATTATTTATTAAAATTTAGTGGTTATCCCACACATCTCCTTGGGACGGTTGGTGGGGGTGGGGGGGAGGGAGGGACCGACCGACCATCTGTTACCCCGTGAAGAATTATTTTTTTTTTTATTAACTGAAGATATTTGTTTTAGCTCATAAAATTCATACAAATTACCCGGTCTGAATATAATTTACATTGCTGGAATTCTTATAATTTGATGATCATTTTGAATATAAACATCATATATTTTGCATTAGACATACAAATTTTAGATAAAATTTTTTCTCAAATTAACTATGTTATCTTTTGTGCAAAATATATGACATTTATATTCAAAATATTCCTGGTCTTACAAGGAATCCAGCAATGTCAATTATATTATCCTAACTTTAATCTGAGGTATTATTTAATACTAAATGTTAAAAACTCTGGAAGGGAGGATTGGTGGGGGGTGGGGGGGAGGGTTGGGACTGACCGCGCGGTTGGAAGAGGGGGGGAGGCAAGGTGGGGTACTTTGATTGACAGATAGTGTCGTGAAGATTATTTTTTTTTTTATTAACTGAAGATATTTGTTTTAGCTCATAAAATTCATACAAATTACCCGGTCAGAATATAATTTACATTGCTGGAATTCTTATAATTTGGTGATCATTTTGAATATAAACATCATATATTTTGCATTAAACATACAAATTTTAGATAAAAATTTTTCTCTAGGTAACTATGTTATCTTTTGTGCAAAATATATGACATTTATATTCAAAATATTCCTGGTCTTACAAGGAATCCAGCAATGTCAATTGTATTATCCTAACTTTAGTTTGAGGTATTATTTATTAAAATTTAGTGGTTTTCCCCCAAAAATTTCTCTGAGAGGGAAGAGCCGGCAGTGTAGTGTGAGAGGGGGAGGGAGTTGAGTCCATTATTTGAATGGACATTAACTTGGCGACTGTATTTCTCTATTTCTCTTAAGTATTAATTGTGTGCATGTACCATCATAAAATTAAGATGTTATTTTTACTACAACATAGGTATGTGCCTTCAAAAAGTGGAGTTTGGGGGTCGGGCCGGTTTCTATTGGAATTAATCCCATATGTTCTGTTGTTCACTTAACGCGGATTTCACTTAACGCGGGACCCTCTGGGTTCAATTAACCGCGTTAAGTGGGGTACAACTGTATAATAAAATCTTTGAAGTTAGTGAAAAAGAATGCCCAGATTTTAAGGCCATAGTCCTGATAGAATCCTTTTTTTTTTTTTTTTTTTTTTCATATATGGATCGATATTTATTAAATTTAAATACATTACTTAGACTAATTCAACAGTGTTTCCATTAAAATTTCAACAAATTCAGTTGAGAATTTGCTTTTATTAATATTTTTTAATAATATTTTCTTTTTAATTGAAATACAATACAGTTCAGCCAAAAAAAAATAATGGAAATTAGTAGTGTTTTTAGTGATATAGAGCATGGAATGGTGATATTTCATTACAGTAAACCCTTAATAACTCAGAATATATGGGGGCTCTAACCATTCAGTTATCCAATTTTTTTGGGTAGACATAGTACATAATTTTCTTAATTTTTTTTACTCTGTTACATGCATACACAATCTTCCACCCTGGACCAACACTAAATAGATTCCTCCCCTCAGAGCACACCAGTCTGGTTGTTAGGTGTCAGAAGAATCTATTCTTAGTTTCATTCAAAAATACAATATACAGTATAACAATAAAACATGCTGTCATTCGCTTATAACACTATTTTGATGACAACAGAAAATGATAATCACCAAAAACCAACTATGGGGGAAGGGGGGTAAGGGGACTTTTATGATTTGTTTCAGGGTAGTAGAAGGTATTATTGCACAACATTCATACTTGGCAGTCATGTAACTAAAGATTGCCAGAGTTCAGAGGATTTTTTCTGAAAATCCAATTTTTCATAATTTAGGGGAATTATTCTTTGATGATTGTGTGTATAGTTGCATCCACTGTCACTTCCAGGTCAGGCCAACAAGTGGGTGGTGAACATGGAGAAGGAAAATGGTCTTCAGGTGGTAAGGCAGACTGACCAATCTTTCACCAGAGTGCTGGAGGAAGCACTTCAGAAGGGCCTTCCGCTGCTTATTGAAGGCGTAGGTGAAGAACTGGACCCCATACTTGGTAGGATGTATTCAAAACCACCTTTTGTGTTATTGTGAGACAATTTTGTTTATGAAGCATCTAATGTGTACCCAAGGATGATGAACAAAAGGTACTGAGGGAATAATGTTACTTCTGATATTTTATCATTATGGTTTGTTAATAATGTTATCATTATCACTTGTGTACTGTAGTACTACAACTACTACTCTCCCCATAGTGTTGTTAATTCCATTAATATGTTACAACTACTGCCATTAAACAATACATAGCATTTTATGGCAAACAGAAAAAGGTTGTTGAATAGATTCTCATGGGAGAGATATGCAAATTAAATTCATTATATTTTGGTACTACCTGAAGATCCAGTGCTACTGAGGCAGACGTTTAAACAGCAGGGTGTGGATCATGTGCGGGTGGGGGAGGTGGTGACAGAGTACCACAACAACTTCCGCTTGTACATCACTACTAGGCTCAGGAACCCGCACTTCCTGCCACAGGTCACTGTTAAGGTATTGCCATATCCTCTTTTTCTCCTTTATCACATCCATATCCCATTTTCAGTTTCATGCACTTAGATCATTAATATTTCAGTAAAACATTCTAAAGCATAGTTAAGTCTCCATAAACTGTCACTTATTAATTGCCATGGTCAGTGTTGGGTTGATGGATGGTTCCTGTTTAAGTACACTGATGACAAAATGCATTTCCCTTGGTGTTCTGACTTGGGTCTCGCTTATGTTGACTTTGAAATTACCCATATCATCATACTTCATGACATTTTGTGCAGCACATTACAGTAGTATGCTTACATATGACCCACAGTATGACCTGGACTTCTCAACTCACACTTCATCACATTTATGTTTTAGTAAAGTTTCCATTATATATGAATTGCAGTTACAGTAGTACCCCGATTTACACGGTCAATTGAACCCACAGGGTACCGCGGAAAGTGAAAACCGTGTAAAGTGAACAACAGAACATATGGGATTAATTCCAATAGAGACTGGCCCGACCCCCAAACTCCACTTTTTCCGACACAATACCTATGTTGTAGTAAAAATAACATCTAAATTTTACGATGGTATACTCACACAATTAATATTTAAGAGAAATACAGTCGCCAGGTTAATGTCCATTCAAATAATGGACTCAAATCCCCCCCCCCCTCTTCCCAACTCACTAGCTCCTACCTCTCTGAGAAATGTTTGGGTGAAACCACTAGATTTTAACGTTTAGTAATAAATAATACCTCAGACTAAAGTTAGGATAATATAATTGACATTTCTGGATTCCTTGCAGGTCAGGAAATATTTTGAATGTAAACTTCATATATTTTGCACAAAAGATAAAATATTTGCTTTGTGTAAACCAAATTATTACATTAGATCTAACATTTGTATGTCTAATGCAAAATCCATGATGTTTATATTCAAAATGATCATATTGTAAGAATTCCAGCAACGTAAATTATATTCTGGCCGAGTAATTTGTATGAATTTTATGAGCTAAAACAAATATCTTCAGGTAATAAAAAAAAAATATTCTTCACGACACTATCTGTCAATCAAAGTACCCCACCTTGCCTCCCCCCCTCCTCACACTCAGCCAGCTTTGTCGGTCCCAACCCTCCCCCCACCCCCCACCTTCCCTCCCTACCAGAGAAATGTTTGGGTGAAAAAACTAGATTTTAACTTTTAGTAATAAATAACACCTCAGACTAAAGTTAGGATAATATAATTGACATTTCTGGATTCTTTGCAGGTCAGGGAATATTTTGAATGTAAACTTCATATATTTTGCACAAAAGATAAAATATTTGCTTTGTGTAAACCAAATTATTACATTAGATCTAAAATTTGTATGTCTAATGCAAAATCCATCATGTTTATATTCACAATGATCATATTGTAAGAATTCCAGCAATGTAAATTATATTCTGGCCGGGTAATTTGTTTGAATTTTATGAGCTAAAACAAATATCTTCAGAAAATAAACAAAGAAATATTCTTCAAGGACACTATCTGTCAATCAAAATACCCCACCTCTGCCCTCCCTCCCTTCCTACCCCCCACCCCCCACCTTTCCTCCCTACCAGAGAAGCGATTGGGAGAAAATAGTATATTTACATTTTTAGTAATAAATAATAACCCAGACTAAAGTTATGATAATATAATTGACATTTCTAGATTCCTTGCAGGTCAGGGAATATTTTGAACATAAACTTCATATATTTTGCACAAACGATAAAATATTTGCTTTGTGTAAACCAAATTATTACATTAGATCTATAATTTGTATGTCTAATGCAAAATCCATGATGTTTATATTCAAAATGATCATCATATTGTAAGAATTCCAGCAATGTAAATTATATTCTGGCAGGGTAATTTGTATGAATTTTATGAGCTAAATATAAACAAATAAAACAAAAATTATACTTCACCGCATATATGAGTAGATGCACCATGGAAAGTGAAAGTCCCCACAAGTCCGGTTCTGGCAAGGTACCGCGTAAATGAGAAATTGAGAAATCGCGGGGAAAGTTAAACCGTACCGTGTAAAGCGGGGTAATACTGTATTTATATACATCCACTGTATGAAGTATAGACACCAATAAAACTCACAGGTACACTAATACAAGAAGCCACTTATCTGTCTCTGACAGGTGGTTGTTCTAAACTTCCTCATCACAAAGATGGGGTTGGAGAACCAGCTGCTAGGGCTGGTGGTGGCTCATGAACGACCTCAACTGGAGGAACGCAAGAACCGTTTGCTGGTAGAGTCCGCCCACAACCGCCGCGCCCTCCAAAAAACCCAGGAGAAGATCCTTGAGGTCCTCTCCACTGCTGGCCAGAACTTACTGGAGGATGAGAAGGCTATTGATATTATGTCATCTAGCAGGGTAAGCCCACTATTTTCTGTCTATTTATCCTTTAACTTTACTTATGGTATCTACTACTTTTGTGTGGAATGTATCAAGTAGTACAGAAACCTTAAAGAAGTGGGTAAATACAGAAATGTGTAGGAGGAGCAACCCCAGCATCTGGATTTCAAGCGTAAACAAAGGAACAGGTGCAACATCCCCACTACTTCCTGTATCATTAACCAAGTATCCCATTTCTGGTGTAACGAAGAAATGGGTGGCAGTAGCAAGGCTGGTGCAGCAACTTTGTTCCAGACCGACAGATCAGGTCATAATAATGATTAAAGATAGTTGAAAGAACCCAGGTAATGAGTGCCTTTTGATAGGTGGTGTATGAAGGATTTTTGTACCATCTATATACAGTACTGTACTGTATACAGGTAAGTCTTTGTTTGTTGGGTAGCAGTTTCGAAGGTAGTAGGTAGCAGGCAGCCATCAAACAGGGAGGTACTACCGCCTGGGAAGATATTGGAAGCATAATGTGTTGTCTAATGGTAGACCCTGCTGCCATATGGCATCACGAATATTGTGACCAAGTCCCAGGTTGCTGATCTGTCTTTCTGCCTCATTTACACACAATTGCAGGATCTCAATTGTTTCTCTTTCTATTGACAGCACAACATATGATACATATAGCATTTCTCACTATTGATTATTGTTTTTCTTTTCTTTATTATCATTATTACAGTGTTGTTATTATTATTATAATTTTATTTTACTTTTTATTATAAATTTTATTTACTATGAATTACTATTATTATTAAATTTTCGCCCCCCAGGCCCCGATGTGGGTCAGTGACCTGTGCCCGGGTGGGCTAATCCCCATAAAAAAAAAATAAAAAAAAGTTAATGAAGACCAGGTATAAACGTAAATGAGTTTTGGAAGTACAGTATTAAGGTTATTTAATTATCCTTGAGCTTAAACTTAGGAAGCCTCAATGTGTTCATACGTTGACAGACGTGCAGATGATAGTTGTAAGATTTGATGACAGTACTGACATGTTCTTTCCAAGTCAGTCTAACATTGATATTGACTGAGGAATTTAGTGGAATTCACAACTTTAGAGGGTGTTGGAGCCTAGTGGGACAGTAGGAGTCCAAAGATGGTCATATGAAAGGTTAATGTGCATAACCATGGTTGATGGTGACATGATTGGCAACAGTCCTAATCTGGAGAGCACTGTGAAGAGCCTTATATTATCAAATCAAAACTATTGACAGCTATAGCTTTTTTATGATGACTAAACAGAAATATTTTATTTTAGTTCAATCCAGAATGAGATGTCTAGCTTTATACCTAGATATGTAAATGCCTTGCTTTAACTTGCCAGGCCAACATACAGGCAATTAAAACATCTAATAATTGTTTATAGTGCAATGTTTCCCATGTAAGTTTCAGCTATCACATTTGGTGGGCAATATTGGAATCTTGTCTATGAACTAAAGTGTTAGTAGTCCAGTTTGGGAGTAATATAATGCCAAGGATAAGTACACTTCAATATCTTCCCTGTTTTCTGTCATCATTATATTCTTAGCTTCCATTGTTCTTTGTAATGTTTAGGAGTTTCTACCATGGGTCTATGGATAAGAAAACTCGACAAAGTTAAGCAAGAAGGTAATCAGTATATAGCCCCATTCGGTCATACATTCCTTTTTTTCTCCAAATTTTGGAAAGGCTTCAAACTTATCAATGGTTTTCTTGAGCTCCTGAACTTCCTAAATCAGGATCAAAGGTCGAGGAAAAGAACGTGATCATCAATCAGTCTTTTGTTTACACCTCAACACACAGAGCATGCTTAAAATCATCAGTAGCTACCTTTGGAATGCCGCTCAAGAAGAGGAAAGTGAAATTACAATTAAAATTTTTAATTCTGCAGGTCCTATCGCAGGAGATCTCGGCGAAGGAGGAGGTGGTGCAACAGACGGAGCAGGAGATTGATGCTGCAAGGGGTGCCTACAAACCAGTCGCTATCCATGCCTCTGTCCTTTTCTTCTGCGTATCTGACATGGCAGCCATCGAACCCATGTACCAGTATTCCCTTGGCTGGTTCATTAATCTGTATCTCCAGGTAAATGTGGTTCCCCACATTTGTTTACTTTACTTTATCCTCTTCACCACTGATCGGCTTATTAAGTGCTTGAGCGGTCAGTTACATCTCTGTTACACACTATTGACAAGTACAGTGTTAGAATTGAAGACTATAAGCTGATGATAGAGGCTGTATAATCCTATCAGCCAGAAGAGTACATGTAAGTACTGTACTGCAATGTAGATCAGGCTGATAAGTACTGTATATTAGGTGCCATTTTATGAAGTTATGTTACAAAAATTGTGTGTTATGTATATTGATATAATATATAATTTTCAGTCCATTAGAAGCTCGGACACCAGCGATGACGTGAACTCAAGAATCTTGCTGCTCAATTTCTACCTGACACGGGCCATTTTCCTCTCCGTCACTCGTTCACTGTTTGAGAGGGACAAGATCCTCTTCTCCTTCATGTTGTATGTCAGGCTCCAGCAGGCACAAGTGCGCTCATCACACTGTCTTACTTCATACATTGATGTTATTACTTAAATGATTGTTACATTTTAATTTTTTTCTATATTTTGCAAGCAGATATTAAAGATATATACTCCATTTGTTTTATAGGTTCGAAAGAAATAGATTGTACTTCATAATAAACAAATCCATTAATAGTTTCAGATGTGAAGTATTCTTGTTCTAAAATGAGGTCTTTGGCCTGTGTGTACTTCAGGGAAGAGTGAAGGAGGATGTGTGGAGGTTCCTGTTGACAGGTGGAAAGGGTGTGCTGGATAACCTGCATGGTGCACCCCCAGCACCTTGGCTGTCGGAGAAGGCCTGGACCCTCCTGGTGCAGGCGGCTGACTGTGAAAGGTGACCCACTTTATGCTTTTAATTCTTGTTTCTTGTCTGTTGCTCTGGTGTAACTGATGACCCAAGACAATTTATTGTCGAGAATATATTTTAATTAATGACTATTAATATCTTGGGAGAACCTGAAGTTCTTGTGAAAGTTGCCTGAAGATATAATTTATAAATGCAAAATGGCTTTCTCAAGACATTGACAAAAAAATTATTTGAGTATCATTCAGAGAATTAATAGCAACTTCTTGTCAACCTCCTGGCGTGATCAAAACCCTGGCCCTCCTATAAGAAAACTTTAATGATTTTTGACCAGGTTGGTAATATGTTTGTGTGTGTAAAGTTTTTGAATGTCTTTATATGCATGCATGCATGCATACAATACATACAAACTGTATACATAAGCAGAATGATCAAACTAATCACAAGAACTTCCTCCTTCAGCATCATTAAAGTAAGTGAACTCAAAGGAAAACTAAATAATGTTTTCACCATCTTAAAAATGCATAACTATATTCTTGTTCTCCAAGGTCAGAAAATAAATGCCTCAGACTGCTAATGTTTTGATGTTCAGTTTATCAGGTGTCCATGAGCACCTGGCCAACAATGTGGAGGCTTGGGAGGAGGTGTACATCTCGGCAGCACCCTACCTGGCTAATTTTCCCCAGCCCTTCCACCAGCTGCATGGCCTTGACCGTCTTGCTCTCGTCAAATGCATCAGGCCAGACAAGGTCACCCTGGCAATACAGGTCAGTTTTACTTGGATGAGAGGATTTATACTACAATAAATATTACCTTGTTGATGAGAATGTTTCTCAAATACAAGTAAAAATTACGAGTTTAACAGAGGTATAAAGTGGTGATAGTATCTTCCTCCCTTTCTACCTTACTTTGGTCCTCGTTAGATGAAGTGTTAAGTTGTTCCAAATATCTTAAGAAAATAACTAAAAATCCAAACAAAGTTATGTTGCAAGAAACAGAGAATCTTGGTGCCGGTATATCTCATTTAACATACCGTAAATTCACTTAGTGATATTTCGGTTTATTGATATAAAATTCATAACTCCTTCATTTTTTTACTATTGCTCAAAATTCAATTTAGCAGTGTTTGACTCACTGGGATGGAAGTCGGAAAAACTGGGTGTTTGTGCTCCAAGTGTGCATAATTACAATACTCTAATGTGGATTAGATATGCACTTATCCCCCCATATTTACAAATTCACTTATTCACAAAAAAATTTTGTGTTTGACCTTATGATAGTTATTTCTTTTACGTTTTTTGGCACAATATGTATGTAGGATTGTGTGTGCATGCACTGAGGAAAAAACAAAAAAAGTACTACGTATATCTACCTAAAATTAGAGGTTGAAAATAACCATAACCCCTCACAGGTCGGCCTGGTAGTGACCAGTCTAACTTGCTAACAATGCCACCAGCAATATTAACAGATGCAAATGTGAAATTAAAATTATTTGTATCGATAAATCCTCATTTGTATCAGCTATTTGTATATTTAAACACAAATGTTGCAGGTATGAAATTAATAGATAGTAACGCTTGTGAGAGTTCAGAAACGGTTACTGCTTAGCTCTGAAGAGTTGGGTGCCTACCATATTGATGGTAATTGTTTGGGATTATCATCAGTCGTTATAAATCTAACTTTTATATTTACAATAATTTTTTTTTTAGTTAATTAAAATTAATAATAGTGTATTTAAGTAAGCAATAACATATTTTTAATTCTGAAGTTGGGCTAGGTAGAATTTAGCCTACTGGAGACGGAAACTGATGGATTCATTAGGCTACGGGAGACAGCAACTTCACATATAGGTTGCAGGCTGATTTTTTTTTGCTTTTTCAGACAAAAAACTGCATCCTATATGCAGTAAAATATGGGTACGTAATCAATCTACCATTTTCAGTTCTTCTGCATATACTGTACTGTAAATGAAACTAACAGACAACCTTCTCCTACATAGTTAACCAAAACAGTGCAGTACTCCTCAACCATCATAAAATAACCATGGCAGTTTTCATTGTTTGACTCTACAGTGTATAGAGTTTTTTCTTTAGATTTGCTTGGTAAATTGTATATTACAACTGTTGTCTGTTAATTACAGTATCAGCTTTCACTCCTTTTATCTTCTCATTTACACCCATAATCACTGACCTTCTTAAGAGTAAAATTTACTTACGCACTACCATCACATTAACAAACGGCTCCCTTTATACCTATCGTATTCCTCTCGGCTCGAAATTTATTCCTTGTTTACTTCATTAATCTTGTACTTGGGTAGATGTTAGTGATTCAGTTGATTACTTATTGTCAAACATAATTTTCAAATTGTTCCAAATATTATGTTTTCTCCATCTACTTTCCTCTTCATTCATACAGGTCTCCCATTCCAATTACCTTCTCCCATTTATATATATATTTAGCCCTTTCCAAGTCTCTTTAAATTCTCTCTGAACTTTATCAAGTCAGTATCAGATGCATATTTGACTCTACAGGTACGTCTTGGCTATAACTCTGACTTAAATTTTACAGTTACTGTACTATTCTTCTATTCACAAACTCTTTATATATAGCTATGTATTTTGCATCCTGAGCTGTAATTCCTGACTCGTCCTTGTCACTGTATCAGGGCAACTTTTGTACACCCATATAGGACCTGTCTCACTGTCTTGTTCTTTCAAGAAAAGGCTCAGTCATGTCAATATTGTTGTTGTTATTTGACCTGTGGTAATAATAATAATAATTATAAACGGTTTATTAATAGAGTTGCAGCCGGTGGCTGAAAATATACAAATTTACATGTGATTTAGATATAATGATATGCGTTCAATACATTTACAGGGCTCTACAGTACATAAATCAGGAGTTGTTTATTATTTTAACAATAGATGAGATGGTGCTATTCTTATATCTGTCAGTGAGGGCTCTAATGGGCTGAATTTTGTTGTAGTAGCGGACTGCGCGAGGTGGGCTGGTGGCAGGAGGTGGCGATGACGAGGATGGTGCAGTAGTCCACTGCCAAACCTTGCTAGTGCTTGGTGGTAAAGGTCACTGAGGGATGGCATTTCCAGGGTGGAGAGAGCATTGTTGTAGCCGGAGTAGTCTACGCCAAGCATGATTTTGCAGGTCCTTCTCTGTACCTTTTCTAGTTGATGTTGTTGGGTAGAGTTGAGAGAAGACAACCAGGCTGGTGACGCATATGTTAATTTGGGGAGAATAAAGGCGTTGTAGATAGTCCTCAGCTCTGGTGTGGGTGTCCCAAGTGACCTGAGTCGTGATAGCATGTAGAGTCGGTACGAGGCTGCCTTGATTATGTTGTTTACATGGACCTTCCAGTCCAGTTTGTGGTCTATGTTAACACCCAGGAGTTTGGCAGACTGCACTAACTGGAGAGGATGGGCACCCACTGTAACTGCTGGAGCTTGCACTGGAGTGGTGGCAGTATTGATGTGCATGACTACGGTTTTGGTGTGGTTGATGGTGACCCTGTTCTCTGTAGTCCATGCCTGTAGCCTGTCCAGGGTGCTTTGTAGCGGTGAGTAGTCTGGTGAGGTGTTGTCCACTGTAACCCCTACAGTGCAGTCATCCACATACTTCCACCGGTGAGGAGTGTCCGATAGAGTGTCGTTGATCAGGATTGGGAAGCACAGTGGTCCCCTGGGGAACACCGCAGGTGAGGTGTTGGAATGTGTAGACAGAACCCTGGTACCCAACTGCCTGACGACGCTCACTCAGGAAATCAGTGAGCCATGAGACCAGGTTGGTGGGCAGCCCTAGTGCAATGGCCCTGTTGATAACAGTGCAGTGATCAACAAGGCCAAAAGCCTTCCTGAAGTCAACAAGGGCAACGGCCAGTGATGTCTTCCGTTTCTGCAGGTTTTTTGTGCAGGAAATCAAGGAAACTAACAAAACAGTGTGATGAAGAGGAGGTCCTCATATTGCCAAATTGCTGTGGATCAATTGACTGATAAATTCTAGCAAATGCCCACTCAAAAACAAAGTCTTCACAGAGTAGACTGGGTATGGGGGTAATGGCAACTGGCCTGAGGTTGTTAGGGGACTGTGGGGTGGGGACCTTGGGGATAGGAGTGACAAATGTGGTTTTCCATTCATTAGGGCATTTGCTTTGTCTGAGGGATGCATTAATAATAGAACAGAGGGGGTGGCAAGTTCGACTGCAAACTCCTTGTAAATTTTGATTGGGAGGTCAATTGGGGTTGTGGAGCATTTGGATTTTAAATTTCAGGAGTTTGTTGGCAATTTCAAATGGTTGAACACTGGGAGGGGGGGGGAGGGGGAAGGTAAGTAAGCCAGGAGGAGAGTGAGGTCAAGACTGGGTAGTGTATGACATATGGTAGCAAAGTGGTTAATAATTATCTCAGCTGCTTCCTCACTAGGTAAATGAGAGATGAAAAGAAGCGTGGGAGACTGATGGTTAAGACCACAGAGATCTTTTACCTTTGAATACCACTGACCGAAGCCGACCTCTTTGAGGCCATGCACTTTCCTGGGATAATAAGACTTCTTGGCTGACTTCATTTCCCTGGTGACCTGGTTACGTAGGCTCTTGTATAGGTGGTTGTTGGTGTAGTATGCCTTGTTGCGCTGCTCAATTTGTCTTTTGATACGGGGTGTAATCCATGGTGTAATGGTCAGCATGCTTGTCTCATAAGCGAGCGGACCCAGGTTCGTTCCCCAGGTAGGGTGAAACTATGGTTAAATTTCTTTATGCCATTTGCCTCTGTCTACCTAGCAGTAATTGGGGACCTGAATGTTATTCGATTTGCGGATCGTGTTCCGGGGTAATGGTTAGCCAGTGTAGTTGGCGAGCTGTTCAGTCTTCTTGGACTATTCCTTGACACTGGGTCACTCAGCTCATTAATTCAAGGTGTGGTTGTTGTGTTGGCGACAGCTTCTGTACCTTAAACAAATCCACGCCTAGGTGGCCCAGACCGACCATCCTCATTACACGAGGGGCAACCATTATTATCTATATATTTTGGGCTAAATAATTTCTCTCTCTCATTTTCTCCCATGTTCAGGACCTCATAGCAAGCCAGCTAGGAGAAGAATACCTGTCACCGCCCCAGTTTGACATCTCATCGTCTTATGATGACTCAACCTGCAGCACCCCACTCATCTTTATCCTTTCCCCCAGCACCGACCCAGTGGCTGCACTCCGCAGGTATTTCATTTCCAACCTCCTGTGTCATCAACTTTACCTTGCACTTCTCTCATCTCTTTATTTTCGTTGCTGTGACCTGCACTCACAAAATAGTAAAAATAATATGTATATAATAAATAGTTAACTTACTTCTTCAGCCAATTTGCTGAATCAGGGCCACCAATTACTGATATCAGGACAACTATCCCCAGGACAATAGCCCCCCTCCCCCTTGACAACTGCCTCCTGGACAAGTGCCCCCATAGGACAACTGCCCCCATAGGACAAGTGCCCCCATAGGACAAGTGCCCCCATAGGACAAGTGCCCCCCCCCATAGGACAACTGCCCCCCATTGCCAGTGAATAACTGGCACCAAACATGGAACTAGCTGAATAGAGAGAAGAAAATAATTAATACACAAAGTGCACAACTCATACAATTATTTTTTAACACTACAAATTTGTAATTAGAAAAACATTTATAAAAAATTGTGGTTAAGTGAAAAAATTTGTAGATCAGTCAAATTTAATATTTGAAAATTGGTTAGGTTAAGTTAAAGGTAGGTTAGGTTAAGGTAAAGTTAATGTTAGGCTAAGTTAGCATGACTAGCTTGTAAACAAAGTGGCTAGGGCTGGCATTTGTGTGTGCCAGATGTTGGTCTGGATTGTCATCTGGATTTTTCTCTGGTAATCCAGAAATTGCTTTATCTGGAAATTCACTTAATGTGGACTGGATTTCCCTCCAATTAGTTTGGATTAAGAAGGTTTTACTGAATTTGCTATTTTAATTAGTTTTTTATTTTATATTTAACATATATTAATTTCATTTGTCAGTACAGGTATCCCTCATTTAACAACGGGGTTGAGTTCCTGAAAAACATTAATATTAAGCAAAATTATCACTAAACGAGGGTTAACAGCAAAGCATGGAGGGTGAACAACAAGTAAAGAATGGCAGGGCGGTAAACTCTGAGTATAGCACTATACTCCCAAATAATAATACTGAAAGTAATAAACAAGTTCATTATAAATGGTTATTAACACCAAACTTCTATATAAACAATTTGGTTCAAAGTTAAACAATTTAGTGAGCACAAGTTGAGCCTAATTCAAACAAATTTTAAATTGCATATACTGTATGTGAAAACTTCAGATTTAAAAAATTTGCTATCATAAACAATAATATTGATACAGTACATAGCATGTCATAAAATGCAGTAGCACCTTTTATGAACAAAAAATAGCTTCTACACTCAAACCATCCTCTGGGTGATGCGGTTTAGTTCAGCCGGGCAGTCACCTTGTTGAGTCAGAGGCATGTGTGTTTCTGCTGTACTGTATGTATATCGTGACCGTCAAATCAGGGAAGGGAACATAGCTGGGCTGGTGAGTCAGTTACAGCCCACTGCCTCCACACATATGTTCACTTCCCACACATACACACCTATGCTCTTTATTATTCTTATTATATAGTTTTATATTATAATTTTATTTATTCTTAAGCCACACTAGAGTGTTGTAATGATTTTTCCAAAACATTTATAGTTTCATTACATGGAGAATTACAGGGTTTAGGAAGTATTAAAACTTAAGGGCATATGAATTAAAGAAGTCAAAATGTCACTTTTGTGATCTTTTATTGTAGTACAGTACAGTATTTCTTTTTATTTTAAACTCTTTGACTTTGTACTTGTTTTGAGCACTAGTGAATTCTTTAGAAGAACTGATGCTTTTCAGTAAAAAAAAATCAGTTATTATTATTATTAACAATGTCAGCATGCTCCACCTCATCCCCAGTTATCCCCCTTCACAGTAAGTCAAGCTATTGCTAAACTGAATTTTGACCTAACAGTAAGCAGGAAAGGGTGTCAAAATTTATTTACTGTATTATTAAAGTCAATTATCAGGAAATGAGCAATTCCTGTGTACTATTCCCTTTTCTATACTGTATATTGCTCTGATGATGGTTACTGTGATAAATCAAAATGTTAGCAAATAAAGAAGAATATGTGTCGAGATGTTAGCCTTTGTCCCAGTCTTAGCGTTACTCTGTGTGTGTATATGCTATAATGTTTAAATTTTGGTTAGATTGAGTTATTCTACAGAGCATGTACAGTCAGCAAAATATTATTCTGCACCTTTACTGGTTTCTACAGTATAACACACCAGACCAAGATTCTGAAAACACTCATGAATCAAAGCGGATGTTGGTAGCCCTGGCTTCCTGAGTTGCCAGTTACTCTGTATATAGTATTTACCATAAGGTATTTCAGTGTGTCTGTGTGCACATTGTGTCACAAGATGTGAATTGAGCAGTTAACATCTTATCACTATACTTATAAAATAATCGACGCTCAGTTACCTATACGTAATTTTGTATAACTTTCCTACGTTACAAATGCTTCATATTGTTTTTTCTGGTTGAGGTCTCGTATTACGCTACTTCTCATCACTTTCTCAGATAATGGTTATAATCCTGAGTATTTACACGATTTCGTTGTATCTCATAGTATGCGAAATTCCTTTACAGCACCTCAGTTTCTAGAGTTCCTGCCATTCCTACCGTATGTGGGTGATTAAACGTAGTACAATCATTTCTGCTACAACGCATGATTTGTCAATGCGAATTGGTTGTAACGCAATTGATGAATAGGGGAACGCTGTTTGTAAAACGCGAACTTTTGCATACGAATGTTGGCTATGGCGCGATTCCATCCTCAACGTTTTAAGTGTAGCTTGGAACGGGGTTATGCAATGTTTACAGTTCACGTTCGACATCACATGTTCAATTGATTCGTGTGTTTTGTTTGTGAAGTGTTTTTTGAGAGGTACTGTACTCTGTAAATTTTGTTCTTTTTTTTTTCAAATTTACCTGTTACCCATAAATACTGTATGAAAGGAATAAGTAAAAAGAATGTTTCGCAGTGCAGACTAATGACTGTTTACACCAGCGCGCTCTGTTTATATCACGTGATCAGTTGAATAGCGTGGTTTCTGTCGATTGCTCTGTGAAGTGGCCTTCGTGATTCTCGCTGTTTTCTCCATTTTTTTTGTGCAAGCCATGAATATGGAAAGACAATGTAAGAAGCGTTCTGGTGATGGAATTGCTGGTGGTGAACGTAAAAGAAAGGCTATAACACTTGAAGAGAAGCTCGATGTGTTAGGCTAACTACTACAGGTATTTGTTTAAATTTTGAGTAATCTGCACCTCACCCTATTTTCTCCATAAGCCCTGTTATTTTTATTGTGCGAATTTCTATAGTGCAAGGCTTCACAAGAACTCAACTTTCGCCTTGTAGCAGAAATTACTAGTATATAATGCTGTGATATTATCTGGTTTAAGTGATATGTGTTTTATATTTATTCCTGATAATTTCTCTGTGGTTATTACACATGATATAAAGAATAATAGCACATTAGTTTTACAACGAATCACACAATCAGAGATACCAACCTTACCAATACATGGCATCAGTCTCAGTGTTCGTTGCGAGAGCTATCGCACCCAAGGGAGCAGAATAATTTTTTGCTGACTGTACATCTAACAACATGAATGTTCCTTTGCAATGAGAGTTTGAACTTTTCCTAAAATCTAGTACTATTCAGATTTTCCATACCAGGAAGTCACAATACATTTGATGTATTATCCTCAGGTTTGCCATAGAGAAGGAGATGGGCGAAGAGGATGTGCAGGTCATCTCCTTGGGTCAGGGACAGGTCAGTGACTAGTACATGATACTACACTGATAAAGAAGCAGGTCAAGTAAAGTCTCTTTCCATGCTGATAGTTATCTTAAGGCTATCAGATGAGCATGACAGAGTAGAACAAGGAAGTACAGGTTTGGCCAACAGGATCATGTATAATGACTTTTCTCATTTTAATTTAATTAAGAGGCAAGAAAGATACCACAGACCTCCCAAGTATGAGACACAAACTCATATTACAGTACTGCAGCACTTTATTTCAACTAAGAATTTGGCATGGCACATCTGAGTCTAATTGTAAAAAATGAGGAGCAAGCATGGTAGGATGAAACTAACATTCATAATTGAAACACAGTAACATGTAATAATTACAATAAACTACAAGGTTATGCAAAAAAGGGTACTAAGTGGACAACAAAATATGCAGCTTCTCTAAACAGAATTTTACCAAAGTCGCCGAGTTAAAGTATTCTACATGAACAGCACAATATGCAGCTTTATATACTTACTAACAACTGTCTATAAAAATAAAATTAATTAATTACATTAGTATTCAAGATGTAGGTATAGGAATTATGGACCAATCAGTGCCTGAGATTTTTAAATATTCTAAACAAGTTCAACTATGTAAGAGTTTAGGAAGGATTATGCCTGTAAGATCACTTAACAGCTTCAACCATGATGTGTGTGTAAGCATGAGGAAACAGCATTTCGCAGATCATTTTATAAAAAATTTTGCTCTCGTTTCATGATCTCACAAATTATTCATTATAATTAATATATATATATATATATATATATATATATATATATATATATATATATATATATATATACATATACATATACATATACATATACATTAATCCCTCACTTTACGCGGTCAATTGAACCCACGGCGGCCCGCGCAAAGTGAGAAACGCTTAAAGTGAACAACATAACATATGGGATTAATTGAAATAGAGACCGGGCCGACCCCCAAACTCCACTTATTCTGACACAATACCTACGTTGTAGTAAAAATAACTTCTTAATTTTATGATGGTATGCACACACAATTAATAATTAAGAGAAATATCAATAATATTAAGTTTTTTAACACTTACATTAGTAGAAAAGATGGCTGGGCACACGGGGATGGGGGGTTGGTTCCGAGGCAGAGGGGAGATTATTGGCCCTCACCTGTATCACTTGTATCAATTGTATCACTATCCACCACAGAGGCTTGCAGGGCCTCTTTGTCAAACCCCTCAAAGTCCATATAAGTCCATATCCTCACTATCATTATCAATATCACTGACCTGGGCCGGCTGTGGTGGGTGGCGGGTGAAGAACTCGGTAATGTTTTGATGACTGGGCGACCTTGTGTGCACCCTGCTCGCGCTGCTCTCCGCGTAAAAGGGTACACACACCTCGGAAAGTGAGCATTCCGTGTTCGGCAGGGTACCACGTAAACGTGGAAACGCATAAAGTGGGACCGCGTAAAGCGAGGGTTGCCTGTGTATATATATATATATATATATATATATATATATATATATATATATATATATATATATATATATATATATATATATATATATATATATATATATATATATATATATATATATATATATTCATTCATTCATTCATTCATTCATTCATTCATTCATTCATTCATTCATACATACATACATACATACATACATACATACATACATACATACATACATACATACATACATACATACATACACACACACACACACAGTTTTACCCCGCTTAACGCGCTTTCACTTAACGCGTTTTATCATATACGCGGTGCCTTGCCAAAGCTGAACTTTCACTTAACGCGGGTTTTTCCACAGCTACGCGGTGAGTGTCCGGCTCGGATGCTATTTTTAGATTTTGACCACGCGCCACGCGCCACCCACCCGCCCTCCTGCCTGCCTGCCTCTCCCTCCTCCTCCCTCCGCTTGGGTAAGCGGCGCGGTAAGGTTGCGCAGTGTGTGTCTTTGTTGCGTTATCACTGACGTCATATGACGTCTCGGACTGTGATTGGCCATGCAGCCCTACCCCCCTCTGCTGCTAGCTGTAATTGGCTTAAAGTATTATGACGTGACTACCCTGGGGAGGGAGGGAGGGAGGAGAGACGACGCTTGACCTAGCCGCGGCAGTTTCATCCCTCAAGGCCACGCCGGGTTAACGCGCATCCATTGTTCTGTAAAATGGCTTCCGCCGGACCACCACCCCCAGAGAGAAACCTTTCCTTACCTGGACCCAGCGGCACTAAACCAAAGAAGACACGACGTTCATTAAGCTACGAGCTGAAGTACCAAATTGTTCAAGATTTGGAGAAAGGAAGACGCCAAGTTGATCTCGCGCGCCAGCATGGCGTCAACGAATCTACGATTCGTACAATAAAGAAGGATGCAGCCAAGATAAAGGAGCACATGAAGATCACAAAGTCTGCAGGTGCTTCATCTATCAGGTATTGCCAGAACAGGGTGCTGGCAAAAGTGGAAACTTTGCTGGTGAGTTATTTGGTGCGTCAGGCGCGACGCAACATGGCGGTGGACACGCGCTCAGTGCAGGAGTACGCACGTGAGCTATACGCAGCAGTGACACGTAAACTGGGAATTGCAGAGCCCAAACCCTTCAATGCTTCCCATGGTTGGCTGCATAGGTTTAAGAGGAGGAACAAGGTCACCAACATCAGCATTGTTGGTGAGGAAGCGAGTGCTGACCGTGCGGCGGCTAGAGATTTTCCTCCGTTTTTACGTGAGATTATGGAGGAAGGACAGTACAGTGACGACCAGGTGTTTAACATGGACGAATCTGGTCTTTTCTGGAAAAAGTTACCTTCCAAGACCTTCGTTGTCCAGTCTGCGAGCAAGGTAAGGGGCCGGAAGATGCAGAAGGAACGCATCACCGTCCTGTTTACCACCAATGCCTCCGGTACCTGTAAACCAAAGTTATCGGTGATTCACAAAGCCCGCAAGCCGCACGCCTACAAGAATATGGACATGAACAAGCTTAATGTCCACTGGCTAACCGCACGTAAGGCGTGGATGTCCTCTTCTCTGTCCCTCTTCTGGTTTGACAACTTTTTTGTTCCTGACGTGCAGAAATTCTGCGAGCAACAGAATGTTCCTTTCAATATTTTGTTGCTCCTTGACAACGCACCTGGACACTCGCCCCTACTTATGGATCGTCACCCCAACGTAAAAGTGGTCTTCCTTCCTCCCAACACTACGTCATTAATCCAGCCCATGGACCAGGAGTTAATCTGCAATGTTAAAGCTGCATACTCGGCAAAGAAATTCAAGCTCCTGAACGACTCTACCAACACCAAGGATGAGTTGCGTAAGCTGGGTGACACCGACAGCGAGAGTAAAAGCGACGAGGACAAGGAACAAGAGGCGGCGACTCAAGAACTTCTCGTCAAACAATTTTGGAAGAAGTTTAACGTCAAACAAGCTGTAGACTTCTTGGTGGAGGCATGGGATCTGCTGTCTATTGCTACGATTCGTCACGCATGGAGACATGTGTTGCATGGCATACCAGGTGAGAGGAGGAGTGAACCTGTGACTGGTCAGGTTCAGACTGTTGCAGTAGCAGTGGACCTTGCCAGAGAAGCTGCGCAGACTGTTACAGCTGAAGGCTTCTCCGAGACCACCAACGAAGACATCATGGAGGTGATCAGAGATCCTGAAGTGACTGCCGACGAGATGTTGGAAGAAGAACCCGCCAGTGAAGAGGAGGAAGAAGGTGCGTCATTCTCCGAAGAACCTAGTTTAAGTCATAGTGATATTAAGTGTGTCATAGAGTTAACAGAAAAAATTAAGTCCATCGTTTCCCGCGACACTGACGATGAACGCCATGACGTCTTCCATACCCGACTGGTGCAGGCTATGGAGCCGTACATCACGGTGTATCATGAAAACATCAAAGCCAGCCGTCAGCAAAGCATAACCGAGTTCTTCGCCCGCAACCCACCACAGCCAGCCCAAGCCAGTGATAGTGATAGTGAAGTTGATTTTGAGGGATTTGTCAGGGAAGCCATAACAACTGTAAGTGACAGTGATATTGATTCACCTAGTAATGGTGATTCACCTGAGGGGCAGTAATCTGCCCTCTGCCTCGGAACCAGCCTCCATCCCCGTATGCCGACCCATCTCTTCTACTACCGTGAGTGTTCCTTAAAAATTTTCGTTTTTTAACCTATTCTTTATTTTTCCTATGTTAACCTTTATCTTTCCTAACCTAACCTCTTTTATATTACTTGTTTTTCATGCCACCATAAAGTTAAGATAGAATTTTTACTACAACATAGTTATTTGTCGTCAAAAAGTGGAGTTTGGGGGTCGGGCTGGGTTCTATTGGAATTAATCCCATATGTTCTGTTATTCACTTAACGCGGTTTTCACATAACGCGGGACCCTCTGGGTTCAATTGACCGCGTTAAGTGGGGTACAACTGTACGCGGTGCCTCGCCAGAGCTGAACTTTCACTTAACACGGATTTTTTCCACATATACGCGGTGAGTGTCCGGCTCGAGACGCTATTTTTAGATTTGCCCCACCCGCCACCCTGCCTGACTGCCTGTTTTAGCTCATAAAATTCATACAAATTACCCGGCCAGAATATAGTTTACATTGCTGGAATTCTTATAATTTGGTGATCATTTTGAATATAAACATCATATATTTTGCATTAGACATACAATTTTTAGATAAAAATTTTTCTCTAGGTAATTATGTTATCTTTTGTGCAAAATATATGACATTTATATTCAAAATATTCCTGGTCTTACAAGGAATCCAGCAATGTCAATTATATTATCCTAACTTTAGTTTGAGGTATTATTTATTAAAATTTAGTGGTTATCCCACACATCTCCTTGGGACGGTTGGTGGGGGGAGGGAGGGACCGACCGACCATCTGTTACCCCGTGAAGAATTATTTTTTTTTTATTAACTGAAGATATTTGTTTTAGCTCATAAAATTCATACAAATTACCCGGTCAGAATATAATTTACATTGCTGGAATTCTTATAAT